GATAGTATCGTGTATCGACGATAGTCAGAGATATCGACGATAGCAAATGTCTTTGTCGATAGTCATGACGATATTAGGCTCATTCTCCTATAAATGTATTAAATTATTATTATTAGGCGGCATATTATAATTCGGCTATTATTTTCAAATTGCCCCGCTATTTCACTTCAGCACCGCATTTCACACACATGTAAATGAGGATTAGAGCCTGTAGCCGGTGAAGGAGTTTCCATCCACAAACACAGTCTGCTGATATAAGGTACTTCATTGCACTTTAACAAGTAATCTGAATGGCCAATATATGTGTAATATTTTAACCGAGCCCTCACTAATTGAGTTTAAGACCAGTTATGTTAGAACGCATCTCATTCTTGTTTCTGTGGCGGTGCGTCGGGCTCGTCATGGGAGCGCTGTATGACTGATGTATCTGTTCAATTTAACTTTACTCCAAATATATGAAATTACCCGTTTTAAATACTTTTATATTTAACGTGTTCGTTTATGTCCAATATTTAGTGTTAAACTCTTTGATTTTCACCGTTTACCTGCGACCTTTTATACTGATAACTTCCGTGCTCTGATGCGGCAAACTTGTCACAGGACGCGCGGTCCTAATAGCGATGTGTGACTGTTGTATCCGAATATATATGAACTAGCTGTTTTAAATATTTTTATATTTAACATGTTAGTTTATCAGTATGTTTGAATGTATATTATTTGGATTTTTGGTGCTTTCATAGGCTCTCTCTCACGCGCCCGCATGGTTTAAAACGGCAATAGTTATGAAATAGCCTATAACAAGTACAGAGTTTCTCTCTTGCCACCACGCACGCACGCACGCACAATAATATCGTGTATCCGCGATCTCACTGGCTGGCGATATGACGATTTGAAAAATGACCATATCGCCCAACACTAATTGCGATGTTTTTATCTGCTGTTTGCACTCTCATTCTGACGGCACCCATTCACTGCAGAGGATCCATTGGTGAGCAAGTGATGTCAATTTCTCAGAATCTGTTCAGATGAGGAAACAAACTCATCTACATCTTGGACGGCCTGAGGGTAAGTAAATATTCAACAATTTTTTTTATGAGTGAACTATTCCTTTAACCAGAACTAACCGTCAAACTAATGGCAAACAAAGCGTTTGGAAAAAACTCTGCCTGAAAACAATTCTGTGCAATTTTGCAACACTAAGCTAGTGGCACAAAATTACTTTACCTTTAAGGTAGGTTGGTTGGCGTTTCTAAACAAATGACAAATATGAAGTGTGAAATGAAGAGAAGAACTAGGAAACCTCTGGACTGTCTAAATCCTACAATGTGATTTTCTGGATTTTTTTTTCTCATTTTGTCTCTCATAGTTGAGGTATACCTATGATGAAAATTACAGGCCTCTCTCATCTTTTTAAGCGGGAGAACTTGCACAATTGGTGGCTGACTAAATACTTTTTTGCCCCACTGTATATATATAAGAACAGCAGAATAACCAACCAGTAAATCATTTTTTCTTTAGCAGACTGTTTGCATCACTTTGATTCAGTCAACAATTCCAGTCATTTTTAGATTGTAATTTGAACCATGCATTTATACAATTACCACTAGGGCTGCACGATAAATCGAAATGGAATCGAGATCGCGATTCGACAGAAGCTGCGATTGTCATGCGTCTCTTTCAGTGAAACACGGTTCTGTGATCAGCAGTAAATCTTCATCCAAAGGACAGAGGGCGCTCTCGCGCTGAAACTCCAAATACGCCTCGCAGAAGAAACCCAGAAAATGCCTATCGCTGCAGCTGAATAAACAGAAGATTCAACTGCTTTAATTGATTCAACGTGACTAATAAACACACGACTACGGCAATATATGGTTTATCTGAGTTCTTATTATTATAATTTTCATTAAAATAAAGTATATTTATAATGCAATGCCTTTATCATATATTAAAAATATGTTATTAAATGTGGTATTTTCACATGCTTTCAGATGGAGCAGCATTTACTTCACAGAGCCGTAGTTCACTGAGAAGCTATGCAAACAGCTGTCGTTATCGCGAACGATTTCAGAATCACGCAATAAAATCGTCTGCGATTTTTTTGCGTAACTTGTCAGTGAACTACGGCTATGTGTAGTAAATTCTGCTCCATCTGAAAGCACGTGATGATGATTTCCTGCTGATTACAGAACCGGCATTACTATCAAAATGCGCATGACAATCGCATCCGATTAATCGTGCAGCCCTAGAACTTACCACTATTTTAATTACTCATCAAAGCCAATTTGCCAATTGTCATGTGCTAATTCTGGACCCAGTTTTTAACATGCAACTAAAAATACTTTTTTTTTTTCTAGTATCAGAGTATATACCAATTTGATAATACATAAAGCAAAAACAAGTGTTTTACCTTCTCCTCCTGTATCCTCTCATCAATACTGTGTGATGCTGACTCATGAGCCCTGAACAGACTGACCGTGCTGGTGTGTTCGGGGTCTAATGTGTTTCCTGCTTCATCGCGCACCACTAAATCAAGACCCAGAATCCTGTGCAACAGACACAGACAGATTCTACAACACAAGACTACTAACACATCCCTACCGTATTACTAGAATCAATTATATACAGTTTTAATACATATCAGCAACTTAAATTGGGTAAACTCAAAATGTATGCTTGATGATACCAGTATTCAGACATATTCAGACATTCGGGCCCCTCAAATGAAAAGTTAGTATCTGTTTGGTAAAACAACATGAGGAAGTACAGGAAGCCAAATCGCACCTGTTCCCATAATCAATTTTCGCTGTGACTTTCTTCCTGAGCTCCACAAGGTCGTCGTTGGGAAGCGTACCGGACACAATCTGCGAGCGGTACTCGATCAGGCTGTAGGCCATCTGCTGAACGTTCCGGAACAGCATGGTCTTGTTGCTCTGGTATGCAGACGAACAGGTGATTAAAACAATATCACGGCTTACAAAACACTACGGATGGGATTTGTCTTTGTTGAACAAACACATTGTGGGAAGCTCTGTGTTGGGCTGAAACGGACAGTGAGGTGAACACAAACAAACCCAAAAGGCGACACAGGTAGGTTCACGTACCACATAAAACTTGTGCCATATTTGTGTCCATTCTCGTAATGTGGTGCCCAGCTCCTGGACCAAGGGCAAATCTGTAGGTACAACAGTCTCTTGTTTCCTGTACATCAACAAAAC